CAATCATATGTCAAAAAACAACATTTAAATGGACTATAATGGTTTACTAGATTGATGATATATTTTCTAGAAAGAAAGAAAGAAAGAAAGAAAACATTTATTGCTCAAATACGCCACATGTACATTTAAACCATAAACAAAAAATACATACTAAGAAGAAAAAAAAGAAGAATAAAAAAATATTAAATACATTACACATTTTACGCACACAATTGTGTGTGGCGTATACGGCAAAGAGACCACACTCAGCTTAATGCTGCAGTCAATACGAGACTACAGCGCTGGTTTTCAGTGGGCCTGTGAATTAAGTGACGTACGGACGTTCACACCGTCATTCAAACACTAATAATAATTAACATAAATTACATGAATGAACTAACTGGATCTAATGAAAAAAGAAAGGAAAAGAATGTCCGAAACATTTTAAAAAGTGTTGTTATCACCATAAGAGTCATGTATATTATGAGGAGTTGGAGTTGGAAATAATATAAAAGATATGCTAAATGATGGTACCCTACAAAAATATTTTCTCACAGGTATGTAATCATAATCATAATCTTAAGCAACAATTTTATCATTGGAAACAATATTTTAATAAAGTCAATAATTAATAGCATGAAAAAAAATTTTTTTTCAGCATTTACGTATCAAAAAAAAAAAAAAGTTCTATGCACTCTCATGTGCTTTTCGTATGAACCCACCGGACAGCGCTAAGTGTCTGTAATTATTTAGGTACGTAAATATCACGCCATAGCTTTTTGAACATTAATTAGGTGAGCTTTATATTTTATTTTAAATGTATTTAATGTTTTCAGACTACGAAGCGGTGGCGGCAGGTTTATTCCAGCATTTAGAGGCAGAATATTTGAAACTTCCACGAAAGCCGATGGTACGATGGTAGGGAACAACCAAAGAGTAACATGACGAGCGAGTGATCTTTGATTGTACGTCGCGAGACCACACTAATTTGTGATATAGATAAGGTGGTATTATATTATATTTAATTAATCCAAATAGAAATGTGGCTAGGTGGTGTTCTCGACGATACTGCATTTTTAAAATACTGTGCTCGTTTATGTACGGCGTGACGTGAGCGCGTGGAGGTATTTTTTAAAGCAAAATCTCGCACAGGCATTCTGCACCCTCTGCACAAGTTTCTTGCTACGCACAAGCAGACGAGGGCCATACACTATATCCATATAATTAAATTTAGACAAAATCAAAGAATCGCACAGTCTTATCCGCATATCGGTATTTAGGCAATTTCTAATTTGATATAATACTTTTAACCTTTTCCTTACTTTTTCTATATATTATTAAAAAAAATTGAGATTTCCCAATTCAAATGGATTAGTTCATGGTCAACCTTTTCAAACGTAAAACGGCGCAGTACGTACAAACTATATTTCACAGGTAATGTTGTTTATGATTGTTGTATATTATCCATGTTTAGCGGACACTTTGATATCGAGAGCCCCTCAACAATATAAGCAGCCGTTATTTGCTTATCGCTTTTGTATTTACGAATAATATAAAACGATTGGAGACTATTACATAGTTTTAAACATGCTTTTACATTACATTTCTTAACTGCTGCACGAATGTGTAGCTCGTTCGGGGAAGTACTCGGGCTCCTCGAGTGTATTAAGTATTATTATTCTTTACTTCTACGTAGACGAATATGATTGAGATAACAGAGAGCCACCTTTTTTTTTTTTTTTTTTCAAAAAATATAACGCATCTGCAACCTCATAGGATCTGCATTAGGTGAACCAACAGCTTGCTTGCCATATAAAACGTTCTCTCAATAAAATCTACACCAGACCAAAAAAAATAGTTACATGTATTAGATATAATTATGATTGGTTTAGTACCTAACAAAGATACAAGCAATAAAATTCAATTAAGAAACTTAAATTTTAAGTGTTTAAATTTTATTTTACTACCCTTTAACTATATTGATAAACGAATCCCCCTTTCCCTTTGATCGAAGTAATTTTGAAGAATAAAAGTATTTTGGTGCAATTTGCACCCGGAAACAACCGATTTGAAAAAGTGTAACAAAGTTATTAAAATCTTTAATTAATCTGACGCAGCATTAAAAAAATAAAAATTATAATCTAAACCACTCGAACGAATCACAGAAATAGACATCGACATGGGAGAAATTCAATAAATTATGTTTGTATAACCTTTGAAAGTGGATTATCCGACGTTTACGAAAACATATGTGTTCTCATTTTGTAACCGTTTTGGGATCAATCTAGGCGAAGGCTGACAGAAAAAAGGAATCATAAAGCTAGGAAGATGAGATTATCTAATCATGCATAAAGAAACAAATCATTCAATTTTGTAATATTTATCTTTATGGTGAAAAATTAATAAAGTTCAACTATTAAACTATCACGGACTACGAGAAAGAGCTGATGGACAGACAGCGGAGTCTTAGTAATAGGGTCCCGTTTTACCCTTTGGGTACGGAACCCTACAAAAAAAAGCAAAGGATTTGCTGATACTGAATGATACACACTGTCACTCTGAGGACAAATTTATCTACTTATGGTTAAATAATCAGGAGAAAGAGTGGTAATAATACTTCAGATACTGAAGTTTCTGAAGGCATTGTGGCAATAGTAAAATGTGATTTTACTGATTTAGTGCGTGATTTTTTTTACATCAGAAGGTGGCAAGTGAGCTGGCGGTTCACCTGATGTTAAGTGATAACCGCCGCCCATTCTCATCAGCAACACCGTAGGGTTACAGATGCGTTGACACCTTTTAATAAAAGGGGGCCCCGGCTGCCTCACTCGCCAGACGCAGACGTTAACACTACCACTTCGCGCCCGTCTTATGTGAGGTCGTGGTACTTACCCGGACGGACATTTTTTTAATGTGATCAAGTGGCAAACGAGCCGGCGGTTCACCTGATGTTAAGTGATAACCGCCGCCCACGGACATTTGCAACACCTGTAATGTTGCAAATGCGTTGCCATCTTTAAATAATGTGGGTCTCGGCTACCTCTCACCAGACGAAACGCAGACGCAGTGTGAGGTCGTGGTACTTACCCGGACGGACCTGCCCATTCGTGCAACAGTGGACACCGTTGCCTGGTCCTACCACAGTATTTTCTGACAGTATGTTCCACTCTTTGATACTTGAGTTAATATCATGTGACAAGCTTAAAACTATAGAAAGCATTTCCACTTCATGCCAGTCTTCTCTGAGGTCATGGTACTTACCCAGAAGTGCCTACCCTTTCGTATAACGAGAAGACTGTTTGCTTTCTAATTTAACTACAAGCCCATATTAATTTCTTATATTTACGCGATAATATATAAGACACGCCCTACTTTTAATAGAGAAGAGGGTTGACTTGATTAATACCATCAGCTTGGGATCCCATCATTAATGCAATTAAATCTAGGCCCACACGAACCACTACTGTAAGACAAGATAAAATTAGCATGTTCTGCTTAGATCGACACCTAGTATACGACAATACTAAACTAGCAATATATAAACAGGCGGTAGCCCGGACTAAAAATGACATTCATACAACTAACGCCTCAGACCATCCCGTGGCCATGAACGCTTAAAAGGGTTCGAAACGCCGGGGAGTAAAATTGGAAATAAACGCGATAGCTCCGTTAATATAGTTTCAGTCAAGTACAACACGTTTCAAACGTTGTGTAAGCAAAATGTCCTCACAATACACAATAAAGTTATCGTACAGCAGTGAGAAGCGTGTTCTTTAAAGAAAGAAAATAAAACTGGCCAAGTGCGAGTCTGACTCGCGCACGAAGCGTTCCTTACCATTATCTATAAAGACGGCAAAAAAATTACTAGCCCCACTTAAATATTTTTTCTTCTATTTTTTAATATTTGTTGTTATAGCGGCAACAGAAATACTTCATCCGTGAATGTTGGTGGTTGATAAGATACCGCCTGGTGACAGACGGACAGACAGACAGACAGCGGAGTCTTAGTAATAGGGTCCCGTTTAACTCTTTGGGTGCGGAACCCTAAAAAAGATGTCAAGCCGCGGCCACATCATGTGATAAAATAAAACCGAATGTCACAGAAGCTTCGCTTAAGCTGGGTGGTCCAGTTTAACGAGCAATTAACGACTTGCAATGTTTACTCACAATGCGTCGTACTGCACCCGTTGATCAACGGATAACGATCGATGAAGTAAGCCGAATGAAACAATAATTCTTGTATGAAACAGAGGCAGTCTGCTTCTGATATAATGTTTAAATATTTGAAAAGTAAAAAGCATAAACAAGTTGCAACAAGAATTGACATCATCAGTAATGAATTCTGCCTTCATAGATTACGCTAGGTTCAGTTTTCTCATATTAGTTTCTTACTTAATTATGTTAGGATTTTTTTTTTGTTTAAAGGACAGAATGGATTGTATTGGCTTTATTACCATATAATAAAAGGACTATATGTGTAATGCCAAAAAATTTAATTTTATTATATAAATTAAAAGAGAATACACGTGAATAAAAATTACAGTAACATAGAAGTTTTTATAAGTGTGTTTAAATTGCACTAATTGTTCTACTAAGGTCAGGTAACGAAGTTGGACATTCTACATTTCATTCGTGTTCCAGGAGACCGCCCCAGTGGCTTAAACCAAGAAATATTGACAATCACTCTAAACCGCTATCATCTTAATATGATGTGGTGCCACCCTGTATCAGGGTGATGTGTTAAACCACAATAGTTACAAGCATACTGGTGGAGAAGTCAGAATATACCGTTATTATCGTTGACAGCAAGACGTGCGAAAACTTACACTAATGCTGTACCAATGCACCATGAAACGCCAATCTTATACAAATCGAATATCCTATTCGCCTTCCAATACCCAATCAGCATCCGTATGCCGAACTCATCTACAAGTAAAAGCAGCAATAGTTCGCGTGCAATTGCAGAACGCGAAACATCAATCTGGCAAATGAATAGTATGACAGGTGGAAACATGCTTTTAGTCCGACATGGCTTTCCTGTACGCGATATTTAATATTAAATATTACTGAGCAGGAAGCAGAGCGTTAACATTGCTAGGAGTCAACATGTGGCGGGTAAATCTTGACCCACATTTTAGATATTGTGTTACCTAAGCGAGAGTTTCTTGTTGATGGAGTGTTCTCGAACGCATGAAGTTGGAATCCTGATTGATTGTTAAGTCATATAATATTGTCAATGTTACAAGACCTCGTAGTAAATGCTTTAGCTAAAAGTTCATCAAACGTTTTGTCTGCTCGCATGTCGCATTGGGTTTGGTATATTCATCTTGCAATCTATTATACTTCCTCCGCCATATGGGAAAAAAATTCTATGCTCCATAAGTTTTAGTTTTGAGTCTAAAGGTCCTTCCAGGTGTTTGAAATAAAAAGGTATAAATAGGTAAACCACTACTCTGCTGTCATTTTGCTCAATAATACTATGTACTCTAGGTAACTGTATCCCAGGCCTGGATAGCCCATGATATTTAACTCTTGACAGTAAAGGAGCGGTTGCTAGAGGTTGCAGGATGGTGCTGTTGGTTTCACTGAGACCGCCATCATCAGTAATCAAATGCCAGAAATAAAGACTACAAAATAATTGTTTTTTTTTAACAATAAGTCAAGTGGTATGGATGTATGCAATGTTTGTGTTTATGTATGTCGGATATCGCTACTGTATAAATCGGTATACTGTATAGTGTGGACGGTGTGTTGTGCTAAGCTTTCAACGTGTCTCTTAGTAGGTTGGTGAAATATAGATGGAGCTTGTTATCGCTGCTTACTGGTTTTATTGGCCTAAGTCTGGAGGATATTCTCAGGTTGTAGGATATGAAACGGAAAATTTTCCCCACGTGATAGGAATTGGACATTGTTCTAGAAAAGAGCCGAGAGTCCTGCTGGACGAACGATGACTCACAAACCATTCGAGTTATTTCTTTGTTCTCACCTCCTTTGTGAATTATTTCGGTTGGCAGGTACATGGGGCGACGTCGCGGCGCTCTGAATCACGATGTATTTCCAACTGTTCGGTTTAGGCGGGCGCTCCTCTTTTTGCGCCAGGTTGCCCCCGACTGCTTTATGTGCAAGGTGCGCTCCCGCTGACGGATTTAGATGGCACTCCCGTCCAGGGTGATCGATCGCACGCCAGCGCTGCTGCGTGCCCAACATATCTCACCGCCGGTTCAACTAGAACCTGGTATTATTTACGGGAACGGCCGCGTGAGTCGATCGTAAAGAGGCACGTTGAGTGTGTGGAAATTAGCTTTAAAATAGCTTAAATGGAATTCGGAGGACAGAACTCAACGTGACCCTTTTATTTGAGCAGCTTTAACATCAGATATCACCTAGTGACCGTTTTATATACCAGTCTTGAGATAAAGATCACGGCCTAGTAGTGCTCTAGGGACCAAAGAGTTATCGCTGCTAAAGTCGATGTTGCAATTTTTTGGAAAACACTCACAAGGATGTCGCCCCCTATCGCGTCGGTGAGTAAATAACATCTGCGGAACTTTCTTTGAACGGTCAGGCCGTCGGGTAACAGTTATAAAAGTCGTTTAGGATTCTTCGTAGCGGTCGCCACGTAACAAAATTGCAGAACGAATAATTTTGTATGCACAGAAATAGCGACTTCATGTGAGATCACGGTTAAATAAGAAACTTGCAGAAAATTAAAAACCGACGGCTAGAATTTCGAAAACACATCCCGCATCCAAATCGTGTTTTATTTTGACACGAACGAAAGTGCAATCTTCAATAGCGCCATTAATTCTGGTGACGGACGTATTAAATCAAAAAAATTAATAAGCTAAAAAACACGAACGCTGTATGATTGATTACAAAAACAACCACGGTTAATGAGTCCTCTGGGGAATGTACTGCCCTTGGCTGGACAGTATTTCTTAAAAGTTTTGTTTGCTCTGGCAAAGATTGATAAATAGAACCCTATGTACGATGGTATATAAATCATTGTCGTTCCAAACATGTTGTGATTTTTAATTCGAGGACGATTTAAATTCAAACTTAATGCTATTTCCTTATTTTCCTATTATTAATGTTTTGTGATAAATTATTTATTTTACTTAATTTTCATTCTATAATGTTAGATGTGGGTACACTGTAAAGGAGCTCACTAGATGGCGCGCTAAGTATGCTGAAAAGTAGATATTTGTGCGATTTTAAAAAACAATCCTAGCTTTCCAATACTTTATTCAGTAAAAGTTTATTGATAACTAGCTGCGCCCGCGACTTCGTCCGCGTGGAATTTAAAATAAAAAAAAATCTAAAATAAAAGTAGCCTAAGTTACTCCTTATTACATCAGCTATCTGTCAGTGAAAGTCTCGTCCAAATTGGTCCAGCCGTTTCAGTGATTAGCCGGAAAAAACGGACAGACAGACAAAATTGTAAAAAATGTTATTTTGGTATATGTACCTACCGTGTATACATCCATATGCAGTTATTTTAATATTGCAAACAGACACTCCAATTTTATTTATCTGTATAGATTATTGTATGAATCCAAAGTTTGGCATGCAAATGGAGAATTTAAATTTAAGAACTGTCATCTCTTCAATGTTATAGAATTGTTATTTACTTTGCAATTATTGGTAGGTACCTATAATAAAATATCAACACTGTATAAAGTATGTCGATAAGTTCGGTATCTGTATAATTTTGGTGTAGTGTTTTTCATTTAGTTCGAAGTAATACTTCTCTTGGTGCGTTTTGGAATAATGTTGAGGGCGACACCAACTTCATGGTGTTACCATGGCAACCAATAACAGCTTTTCGACATTTACACATAATTACAAGTTACATAATTAAACCGTGTCAGTTGTATTTAATGTTTTTTTTTTTTCACGAAGATTACTGGCACACGGGATAAAATTTTTAGTTATTTTTCTTTCGCTACCCTAAAGAAGTATAACTTTTTACGTGCGTCCATAACTACACACTTGTTTTACTTTATCGCGTAAAGTGACAACTGATCGTAAAGGCTCGATTAGTTCCTGTGTTTGTTTCTGTTTTATAATATGAACCAAATCTGATTTAGACAATGTCACGATCTTATTGTATCCAGTGCGATGGCGAATTAACTGACCGACTTTAGCAAAGTTTAATAAGTAGTTAAATCTAATAGGTAAATATTATTTAAACAAACTAAAATGGATTTCCATTACGATATTATTGAGATGACAGTTTCATATTTCACAGACATCAAGTGACATTAATTTAAGATATACAATTAAACGTAAGTAATTTCAAATGTACATTTATTAGATGTCAAAACATTTAAATTAAAATCGAGTTTATGGGTTCGAACCAGATAATTTAGATACCAGGCCGATCATTCCAACCACTGAAATCTCCAGGCGAACCAAAATAACATCGCCTAACAAGCCAAATCGCAGACGACTAAATCATAATGCACTAAACATTTGTCGAAATAAATCGCCGATGATTCATTATAATAACTAAACATTGTAATTATGATTAAAAAGAATTTAGTACCCCTGCCCGAGTCGTATTTCATAAAAGTCGTGATGACAATGACGAATTTATAGGACGTTCACGATTTTTGAATTTGTTTAGGCGACAGCATCGCGGGCCAGATTTATGTGATAGCGTTTACCCGAATACTTTTCGAAAATATTCGGGTAAACGCTATCTTTGCATTTTTCCAAAATGTTATGGTGAGAAGGTGGCATGCGAGCTGGCGGTACACCTGATGTTAAGTGATAACCGCCATCCATTGACATTTGGAACATCCGATGTAACTTTTTAATTATTGATGTTATTTCACAGTAGTATTTCTACCGTTTATTCAAAATTTTTCGAATTCGAAAGATTCACAATTATTATAATATTTATGATATTTTTTACTTAAATAGAAAATAAAACAATACTTTTCATTTTGTGATCAGCATTATTGCTCCAATAGAAATTCCAGAGAGAGCCCTCGAAATAAACACGCTCGCAAACAACCAACAAAGCGCACAAATCGTATTTCTTGTATTCAATCGTATTTCTTGAATCAAAGCGAAATAAAAAAATAAATAAAAAATGATTGTCTCGCCGGAAGAAAATTATGCAGGCCGCTGTTTCTTTTGAAATGGAAAAAAAATGTGTCACGCGGAACCGCTAATGATACAGGCAAGCGTTGTTTGCCGAGAGCGTGTTCTGGGCTGGATCAAAGCGGAATCGCCGCCAAATAGCCGGGCGTGGCCAATCGCGCCCCACTGGCTCGCCGTGCGAGGAGACCGCGTATTTTTAGTGCACAGGTAACAAGAATGCCCCTTTGAAATGTAACACTTCCGCTCGTAAAACTGCCAAAGATGAGATGCTACTCCAATTTACATTACCTTGCCTATGCAAGTCGACACTCTAAGAGACACGACTTTAATATCGAACGTAGTGGATACTAATTGACTACCTTCATGAAGAGAGCATACTCTTACCTAAAAGGTCGGTAACGCATTTGCTAGCCCTCTGGTGTTGCATGGCCGGCGGTGATCACTTACCGTCAGGTGAGCCTCCTGCTCGTTTGCCCCATTTTCCATAAAAATCCATAAACCTTCTATCAGGTAGATAGAAAATTAATTTAAAATTTATGACTTAATAATTTTCTATCTAGGAATTCCTTAGGGAACTTCACTCGGAATCGACCACGCGATGGTGTTTCGTTTAAAGCCACCTGACTTGCACTTACGCTCAAACACATAAACGATATGATCAGGTACTTTAGACTTTAAAGACACAAGTTTACAATAGACTGAAATGTGCTTTTAGATTTCTACTGACTTAAATGATTAATTATTGATGATTTGTGTTAGTTAATTCATGAAAAATATCAGATGTTTCTTTTTATAATCAATCTCTGAACAAAAATCTTCACGCGGGCTTTCCGTTAGATCGTGGTAGTTCCCCGGACGGATCTGCTCAAAAGTGCAACAGCGAAGACATGTATGGCCCTACCACAGATGCTATGCTTACCACTATTTTTTTTTCAGCCGCAGTTCCTTTTTGACGCTTTTATACGCTCATCGTTTTCGTATCTTATGTTACCAGTGAAGTGAACAGAGACACTGATTACTCCTCGATTATATTTAATTGCATTGCACGAAAATTTTTAAGGAACTCTAGCTTATCCCTTCACGGTGTACAAGTGTCTTCAGTCTTTATGACAGCAAAAACATTTGGGTCACAAATGGCGGGAAAATTGCACTTTTATATATATATATATATTCTTTATTGAACACCAAAAAAACATGAAAGGAAATGTTACAGAACTATAAACTTAAGAGGTATAAACAATAAGGCGGTCTTATCGCTAAGGAGCGATCTCTTCCAGACAACCTTGTGGTTAAAAATATTTAATTTGGACAATGGTAGGTGGTGTAAATGATAAACTTACATACTAATATTTAAATAAACTAAACGAATATGTTGTATTTTTGTATAATAATAATATACTAATATATACGAAATAAGATCCAATAGACATACATAAATCTAAACATGTACTGTACAATAACTTAAAAAAATATATACAGGAAGAAAAGAATAAAAAATAAATATACAAATGTCGTCGGTGATAATCAGCTTGAACACAGTGACAGATAATAATTTTTAACGTCAGTTTTAAACTTGCGTAACGTTTTTGAGCGCTGGATGTGTGGAGGAAGCGCGTTCCATAGGCAAATGGCTTTGACCGTAAAAGAGTTCTTTAAAATAATTGGTCCGGAAAGTATGCGGGGTGATAATGAGTTCACTGGCTGATCGCAGAACTCTTTCTGGTCTGTCATGACCAAGAAATTTAAACTGTTCCTTCAAATAACTCGGAGTCATAGGATTGAACAAAACACAGTACAGAAGAGAAACAATATGCAGATTCCGGCGAAGGCGGATGGGTTCATGGGATGGGCACTTTCTGTGTTCATGGGATTTGTAACCGTAAACATTTCGCTAAAGGACTTCGTTTACAAATGTGATAATTTATTAAAGCTACACAATCTAATATAAAAGTGACAAATTAAAAGTAATGCAAAGGAACATGCACATACGTTACCAAACTTAACCATATGTAAATGTAAGCTTCTGGATAGATAGTATTTAGGGCATAATCGACCATGCGACTACTTCAAAAAGGGAGCATACTCTTTCTTAAAAG